ACATTTCTTATTGAGCTGTGAATAATAACAACAAAGCAAAGGCAAGTTGTAGCAGGAACAACGTCAATAAATTGAAGACAGCAGATGCTGATGAGAAAGGGATTGAGGTGAAGAAAGAGGCCGGTGGGAAGAATAAAGCGGAGTGTTCTCAAGGACTCGGAAATGGCCGTTATCGTTAACTTCTAGAAGAACCATTTCAAGTTAGGTCGGCAGCTTCCCAGCTTGGTTTCTTGGACAAGAATTCTGCGTATGTGTAAAACTAACTTTCACGTTACTAAAATGGCGTTGCTTTACATTCCCAAATAAAAGAACTGTGAAGGCAAGAGTGGATTTCCCGGGTTTTCTTGCTGGAAATGTTATGCTCTTTAAGCTCAGAAGGCAGAGAAAAGGTGAGGCCCGATGGAGGTCAGCACCCTAGAGATTCAGATGGAAATTCGGAGTGTTAAGTTGGAGCAGAAAGAAACCAACAAGTATGAATGGTCCTAGGGAGAACCGTATGTTTAGCCGGGAAGATCTCTGCACACTGTGTAAAAGAATTTGGAGGGACATAAGCAGAGGCTGAGAATTACTTAATAAAGCTATTTAACAAGAAATTATGGAAATGACACACGACCTATCAATACATGACAATGTGAAAACTTTCTGATAATCAAAAGAATATTAAGGCAACAATGAAATATCATGTTCCACTGATCAAATTTTCAGGGTTTAAGAAATGATAATAGTGTCTGGGAGCATCTGGGGAAATGGGATATCTCATGAAAAGCTGGTGGGGAAGTAAATTGGTACAACCTTTACAGACAGCAATTTGTCAAAGTACATAAAAAAAAATCATCAACAGTCAATGGCCACACATCATTTTTAAAGAGTTGTGTCAACATTTACAAAGAGAGATGTTCAGCACTGTTTTGCTGATAATTAATATGAAAAGCAACCAACATGACAAACCAGTGTTCAGACAGGTCACATAAATTATGAAATAAAGGAATTTGTTGCAGCTATTAATGGCCACATTTTAGACAGGTATTTAGCAGTGTAGAAAAAAGTGTGTTATATATATGAATGGAAAAATAGGTGACAAATTATTTATAGCCCAATGCTAATTTTCTTAATGTGCATGTGTTTACATGTGTATCTACCATAAACACAAGTTTGGATGCAGATGCAGGGAAACATTAATTGGTATCTCTCTGTGGTAGATTTACAGACCAATTAAATTTTCTGCTTTGTATTCACTGTTATTTTACAAATTTCTCTGAATTAATATGCACTATGCTTATCATCACAAGTATGTTTTTACATTTGGATTTCTGTAATGAATAATCGAAGTCATTGTATGCAGACCTCTTTCACATCTGTACCTGCGGAGACTGAAACAGCTGATCTCTGTGTTCTTTTTGTTTCTAAAATTCTACAAAATATTTTATGAAAAATAGAAGAGACCTATGGACAGACAGACACACCGAGAAGTCAAAAAACAAACGATACTTAGAATGAGTTTCAGAGAGAGGGTGTCGAGGTGTTTTCTAGTGGAAATCCCCTGTGGACCCATTCTCATGAGCACTTGTTCTGGATGTGGACATCTTAGCATCACTGTCTTTTTAAAGTGACAATGTTTTTTGTTTTGGGGGTTTTTAAAAAGATTTTATTTATTTATTTGATAGAGAGAGATAGGGAGAGAGCGCACAAGCAGGCTCTCAGCTGATCAGGGAGCCTGATGCGGGGCTCGATCCCAGAACCCTGGGATCATGACCTGAGCCGAAGGCAGATGCTTAACCGACTGAGCCATCCAGGCGTCCCCTGACAGTGTTGTTGCTGATGAAGCAACAATAAATATGGACGCAAACACAGTGCTTACCTGGTGCCAAGCACTGCATGCTATGTACCTCTTGCATCATAGGTATTAAGATGACCATTTTGTATGTTAAGTTATAGGAATTAAATAAAATGCTCAAGGTCTAATACATGATTAGTATTCCCACTATGGTATCCTTTATTCTTTCTGGACTGCTAATTAATTTTTATCTTTTATTTTATTTTTTAGATATAAGGGTTAATTTCACCATGGGTTTTTTTCTTTTTCTTTTTGGAAGGAGCAAAGGAATTTCCCTTATAACCTCAAAACTGTTTACAAATTTACTAACAATGCCTGAATTCCCTTTGATATTTTAAACTCTCAGATCACCTGATCTTTTTTGAAAGGTAAAGACTATGGTAATAAACCACGCTTGGAAGTTGCATTGACATCATTTACTATTTGGAAGTCTTTAAAAAACTGAAAAACAAGTTTTTTGTTGTTGATATTATAATGAAAGGGTGGGGAGAAATCTTCATAATAAATAAATTAAACCTACCTACCATCTTTTCAAATGCTTTGCCAAACCTTCACCAACTGAAAAGAATGGTATAGCAGCTGTGGTCCCACTGGGAAAAATTATTCTCAAGGTTATAGCTTGCATTACCATGTTGCCATGGGTAGATTAAGCCAAGGATCTAGGCTCTATAACCTGTGTAACTAAAATGATGAAAAGAACAGAAAATTGATCTTATGAGAACAGGGTCCTATGTAATGTACCTTGCAATAGAGAAGAAACGAAACCTCTCATTACTTAGGATAATGATGAGGTTTTCCCTAAATTCACTCAGGATAAGGAAAAGGGGGAACAAAGATGAACGATTTAAATTCCCTGTGAAGATGACTCCTAAAAATGAGGGTTGTTAAATAAGAGAGCAGAATTTTGAAAATAATTTAAATATTTATCTAAATTCTGATTGCACAAATAGGTAAGATACAGGTCTCTAGGAATCATCTTATAGTCTCAGGAAAAAGTACTAGTTGTATAACATATTATGCTAACCTTGGGTTAGCCTAATCTCTGTCATAAATAAGTACCCTTTTTTTTTTTAGGCTGAGAATACAATGCAACCATATCTCTCCTTCTCTAGAGAAGCTCATGTAACAGACATTGTTACCCTTATAAATGTGGGAACAGATTTTGAAGGAGATTTAAATTTTTGTTCCCAAAAAGATTTTTAAATAGAACACATCAATTCCAGTTTTCTTGCTGAAATACGGTCCCATCTAAAGGCAGGGATGAGTGGATTTAAAACTCAGAACTTCCATTCTTTCTTGGCTAATTTTCTCGGGATGGGGAACAGTGAGGTCAACAGGAAATGTGAATGGCATTCCAGCAGGTGGCTTGCCTGAGGGAAGCTTTTCCCTAAACTTGTGCAATTTTTTTAGATGAATGCTGAGTCTCAACATCAGACATAATCTGTTCCCAAAATTCATATGAATTTTGCCAATTTACTCAATAAAATGTATATTTGGAAAAGAGACTTTTCCTCAAAACAAAACAGTTATTTTATTACCTTATAACAAGGGATGCAAAATTGCAATTTGGGTTCTACGGTCTAAGCACAATTCTAACATGCTTCGGTTCTGAGACAATACTTGCATATCATATATTTGTAAAATTTTTTTTCTTTTGTACTCGGGTGGGTCTTTTTGTCTAAACAATAATATACCAGAACATCAATGTGGACCAAGATGTCTTTTGAGGAAGCTGCAAATAATATTCTTTCTCTGAAGAAAAGCACCCACAAATAAACTAAAACTAGTGTTTTACTTGTGTAATAATTGACTCAAGTCATGCTTGATTTAACATCCCTGAAAGAAGGAATGTGAAAAACCCTTGTCCTCAAAGGGGAATCAACTGGCTCTCCCAGGACATGGCCTCTTATTTAAGAGGATGTATGTGTGCCTACACATGCTAATATATCCTTGCTTTGTTCACAGTATAATTTCGTTTCTGGAAAATCTGCCTTGATTTAACAGTTCCGTCGAATGTTACTTCCCAGTAATTCTCAGCTAATAAGGAGAAACTGCCATGGAAGATTCACATTCTTCACTAAGCATTATTGCCACAGATGAACATCATTCTAAATCATAGTTGTAAGATAACCCCTACTACGTTTCCAGCCAATACAAAAAGTCTAAGAATTTGAAGTCTAAATAATTTCCACTCCATTTACCTTCTGTATTTGAGAGATGGCATACTTAAATAGAATTAGTTCGAGGGAAGACCAAATAGCATATGCATGTGATAAATTAGGTCTACCCCTATAGTGAAATATAAGAAGGACTTTGAAGAAAAAAGGGAAAGAAATAATCTAAGCTTGAGATGTATTTTATTATCATCTCCCGCTTTAAATAAGCATGTCTAGGACACAATCATCTTCAGTACTAACACACTCAAGCGTCCCTCAGGATTCTTCTTGAAATAGAGGTTTAAAAAACAGAAATTTTCAAATGATGGCTATATACATGATCAGAACCACTACCAACAGTGGTTTTCTGATTTTCTAATATGATGAATTTCTAATATTCTGAACTTCTAATATGACAAACAGTTGCCCAGGAACACATATGCTTTTATTCTACAAATGCAAACTAGATGAGATAAGTGAAAATGATTTAAACAAACAAAATATGTATCTTCTCTGTTAGAATAGCCCCACCAAAGTTTTTATTTACTTCAATTTACACTTTTTCTTTCATCTTTCTTCAGACTCTCACACAAACATGATGGACATAAACATGGCACAAAGCTGCTCTTTTGCTGATAAATTTAAGCCAAACAAACAAATAAAACTCATACACCTATCAGTCAAATAATCTGTCGTTCCTTTATGTTCTTCTTATTAATGAAAGAAACACACCTGTGCAATCAAACTAACTATCCCAAAGACACCAAAATTACACACCGTTGGCTCGGCTGTTTAATTTCACTTTACCTAAATTATTAGTTGAAGAGTAACAGAGAGATAGCAACCGCCAATAAGAGTTAGAAACCAAATAATATAACCAAATAATATAATTTACAAGCAGCAATCAGTCAAGTGATTCTGTTGCTCAAACTATCACATCTGACTGAAATCAATCTCCTTTAAATTTACCCCACAGCAGGCTCAGATTTTGCAATTACACTTCTACATACTGGGAATTTGCTGGATCCTGTGGACAACAACAAAGGCATCAGACAGCCCCACTTTCACTGGGTGATTGGTCGAACTTATCTGTGTGACCAAGACAGGAATCTGGAAAAGAAAAAGCAGATTGCTATGTGTTAGATTTGAATTTCATTTAGGGGTGGGGGCGGGGAGCATGATCGTCCCATTCACTGGATAAAATCAGGTGATGAAGATGAAGGACCAGGGAGAGAGCCAGCGGGAAATATCACAGAAGAAAGGCATACAATACCAAAACATAACATCTGTTTAGTGCTTTTGATGGATTAAAGTGACAAGAGAGTTCCTGGTCCTATAGACTGCTGCTTGAGGATGAAAGTAAATAGATTCTCAGAGAATCTAACTGATGCTGAATGCTGAAAACTCAACTCATGTATAGGTGCACATGAGTGCAAATGAATACATTTAGTGCTGGCTGTCGTTTCAGGAATAGAGACTCTTTTGTATCTTCTGTTTTCCTAAAATACTTTATATTACTTTTCATGGCTTTTTAAAAAAAATCCTTGTTCACAAGTGGCCTTATACATATAAAACCCAGAAAAGGACAAGTAAGTGCACTGCACTGCTAACTATATATTTAACAATATCATTGCTGATTAATAGGTAGTGAAACTTGCCAAGTGTTAATGGATGCTGAACTTCACTATTCTGATTGAAACCTATATGGAAAACTTAATGAATTATTATGGGTCATCTCAAGGTCACATTTCCTAAATTTAAACCTCAGTGGAACCCAAATCTGAATATGACAAACATTTTTTACATTTACAGTTTAAAAAAATTAAAACACATTGAGAATATATGAAATAGTTACAAATGAGACAAACTCTGAGAGCCAATTTTTCTAGATTTAGAAAAGAATCACTGGAGATATGATTACTATCTTTACTACCAGTTTTATAGACATAAAAATGGGCACGAAACCATCTGCAATAAATAAAGGGCCAAGAAACAACAAGGGAAGGATAAATGTACCAACAAATCTTAAGGTGGAATGAGCAGACCGTGGACCGCCTGTGGATAATTCATTTAAGACCGTATTAGATCAGACCTTGTTGTATAAACCATAATAAACAGCACAGAAATGAGAAGCAAGGGGAATAACTTGGGTAGAAGTTATAATAAGGGCTGAACTACTTACTCTTGTCCATGACATCATGAAATTGTGAAAGGGCTATTTTGTTGAAGTTAACCAATAAAGAGGAAATTTTAATGTATCTGAAATTTATGGAATTATCTCAAAACAAGTAAATGCAAGATGACATTTTCTCTTTATGTACTAAATTAGTCTGTTTTTTTTTTTTTAAGGTTTTATTCATTTATTTGTCAGAGAGAGAAAGAGCGCGCACACAAGCGGAGCAGTGGGACAGAGGGAGAAGCAGGCTCCCTGCTGAGCAAGGAGTCCCATGTGGGACTCAGTCCTAAGACCCTAGGATCATGACCTGAGCCAAAGGCAGATGCTTAACCGACTGAGCCACCCAGGCGTCCCTAAATTAGTCTGTTCTTAAACAATATTACGGTATTACCAATTTTATATCAGTATGGCCAGTTCTTAACCAGCATTAAGAAGTATTCTGATGGGGCACCTGGGTGGCTCAGCCAGTTAAGTGTCCAGCTCTTGATTTCCGCTCAGGTCATGATCTCAGGATTGTGAAATTGAGCCCTGAGACCGGCTCACACTCAGCGTGTAGTCTGCTTGTCTCTCTCCCTCTTCCCCTCTGCTTTCTCTCTCCGTAAAATAAATAAATAAAAATATTTTTTCTTTTAAAGAAGTATTCTGATATTTGGACAACAGAAAAAAATAAAACAAAGCCAACATTTCTGTCCCTGAAGGTTCATTTACTAAATGAAATTCTGACATAATTTACTTAGTGATTACTAAGCCATACTCAATATGAATATATGTAATTCCTTTTCTTAGTGAACATTATATGATTACTCAGTTTTATACACAATGTTGAGGAAGAAATGTTAATATAAGTGTAATTTATATTTAAGGCAAACTTATAGGGGCGCCTGGGTGGCTTAGTTGGTTAAGTGACTGCCTCTGGCTGGGGTCATGACCTCGGAGTCCTGGGATCTGGCCCCCCATCAGGCTCTGTGCTCAGCGGGGAGTCTGCTTTCCCTTCTTCCTCTGCCCCTCCCCCCTTGGCTTGTGCTCTCTCTCTCAAATAAATAAATAAAAATCTTAAAAAAAAGACTGACTTATAATTAAAGAAGAAAAGACAAAAAAATTAGAAAAAACATAGATAATATTTCCAATTCCAGTTATATTTTATATATCCACAATTGCTAAATAACATTATTCATACATGCCTGATCAGGAGTAAGTATGAAAGCTTTGCCAACTTGTATTTGTCACTTGCTTTCATTCTCCAACATCTGTGACTGCAATTTTCCTCTGCAAGGTGAGATATATTTTACCAGATAATTCTGTGGTGATTGTATTTCTCCTTTTCCCATACTCATAGCAGAACTTGAGTCTGTATTGCTATCAGTTGGAAATTACTATTATACTACCATGAATATTATATTTTTATACAAGAGCTGGTTTATTGGGTCACATGTTTGGATTCCTACAGATCTAGTACCATCACTTTCCCTTCTTCACACATTTTCTATTCCACCTCCTCAATCTTCCTTCCTTACCTCTTTCCTCACCTAGCTATCTTTCATTTTGATTTCATTTTCTCCATCTCTTTCCTTCCTTTTACTCCCTTCCTTTGTATTTTGTCTGTAAGTCCAACCCTCTCCTCCTGTGCTTTTGGCCTGTGATGGACTGATTGTACTAATGGCCTCCTTGTATCCATACCCTTTGCCTTGTCACTTTTGGTCCCCTCCCACTTGGACTCTGGCTCAGTAATATGGCAAAGGATGATGACAGCAAACATGAAGCAAAAGAGAGGATTGAAAATGTACTTGCACATTCCACCTCCTTTCTGGGACTCCTGCCAGTTCTATGATGATGCATGCTATTGGTCTGCTGAAGATATAAGAGAGGCACATGGAGGAACGTTTCCTTTCCAGCAGAGGTCATCTTTGACCAGCTGGCCCTTAGCCAATCGACCAGCTAACAGCTGGCACATGACTGAGCCCTGTTGAGATCAGCAGAGTCCAAACCAGATCAATAGAACTACCAAGTTGATCCATAGGTATCTTGTGAGAAATACAAAATGGAGTTGTTTTAAGGAACTACATTTTGGGGTGATTTGTTACACAGCAATACTAACCAATACATTTTCTATTAGAGATCCAATAGCAAATACAAACTCTGGGTATTTCTACATAAAATGAAGAAGGATTCTTCCTCCTAGGTTTCAGGGAATCAGATAAATATCTTCTTTACTTCTAGGTACAATTAAACTTGAAAGGTGGGAATGTTCCAGTAGAAAAGTTTCATTTTCTGCATCCTGCTTTCACTCTTCTATATCTCTTTATTTCCTAGTTTATGCTTTGTCCTCTGGATTCCAAAAAATGAAGACCAGTGTGTCTAAGTTACCTAGATTCAGACTCATTTAACCTAAGGAAAATCCATCCAAAATCAAAATGAATAGCCCAACAATGTAGACAGTTTTCTGTCACTGAAAACAATCCCATCATAAATTGGCCAGCCCTTTAGGAAGATAGTTGTTGATGACCTGTAAGGACCCTTTCAAGCCTCAGTTTGATGGTTTCACTCTATAGAAAGATTTTGACTTTTCCAAGCTTCAACAAGTAAGCTGTGAAATACTCTATTTATAAAGAGAACTGAGGTAGGTAGAAATCATCATCTGCTTCTAAGAGAAACATTTTAACTTGCTGCCAGTTTTCTAGTTATATGCATTCATAGGACAGTGACTTCTGAGGAATGTCTGACAAGCCACTACTACCATAAATATCTCTATTATGCATCTTAGTATAATGTGGAAATATAAAGTAGAAAATAAATTTCTGAGAATATTATTTACTATATAAAAATTATTTTCCCTAAAAGGCATATACACTCTAGATGCTCTTTGATAAGATAGAATTCATTCACTCATTTACTAGACATTAACTAAATATTTTCTGTGGATTATTGTAGGGATTATAGAAGAGAATGGAACAAAGACCCTGCTCTCTCACTGAGCTTATATTCTAGAGGGCAGAGATTGACACAAAAACAAATGAATGCAAAAAATAAAGTATGCTGGGAAGTGGTAAGTGCTAAGGAGGAAACTAAAGTGTGGTAAAGAGAGAGAAGGGGTTGGGGGCCTCCTTAAGAGAAGGAGTCACAGAAAGTTTCTGTGATGAAAGGACTTTTCTGTAGTCATGAGCTTGCCATGGGGATATTCGACCAAAACTCTGAGTAGAAGGACCAGTACAGGCAAAGGCTTTGACTTAATTGTTTTTGGTGTCTTTCAGAATTAAAAGGTTATCACTGGATAAGGAGGAGTAAATAAGATTGTCAAAGGAGATGAGAGGTGGTGGAGGCAGATCAGAGGGAGCATTCACTCCCCGCAAGCCATGGCAATGACTGAAGTTGATTTCATGTTGTACAGTGAAGGTTTAGAGAGTTTTGAACAGAGGAAGTATGTTCTCTTACATCTGAAAAAGATCGCCCTGGCTGCTGTGTGATCAAGACTGTAGAGGGCAAGGGAAGACGGAGAAGCTAATTAGGAAGGTATCACAGTTGTCTGCAAAAGAGATGGGTGGCTTGCGCTACACTAGAGTGATTCATGTAGGAGTGGAAGTGATGGAAAGATGGGTTCCAGATGAATTGTAAAGGCACTGCCATGAAGCCATGCCATGGATTTGGGGAAAGGTGGGAGAAAGAGGAAGCCAGTGACGTCACCGTGGCCTTGGTCTGAGCAGCAGGAAGAATGGCGTTGAGCTCCTCACCAGGGCCACTGTGTTGTACACCCGCGGGGCTGCTTTCCCACTGCAGGCCATGAGAAAGGCGCTGCCTGCCCGTGCGAAGGGCCACGTGGGCAGCACTGGAAAAGAGTATGGAAATGTCCAGAGATGGACAAGATGAGGAGCGGAAGGTTTCGGAAGGGATGATTCTATGGCAATACCACTGGCCTCATAATGCTTTTCTTTTAAAATTT